ACCTATTAACCCTAAAAAGGTTTTAGCTCAGTTGGGTGAACAGTTTCTGAGAACACTCGCGGACAAAAAAGTACCGGAGAACAAATAAGAAAAAAAATAATAATAATAAGAAACAGAGTAAAAACAATATGTTCCCAAACTCCGTTTGGGGAACATAATTAGAGAGAAATTAATGGGTTTTGAGTGCAGCAGTTAACTGACAGAGCATTAGCGTTATCTATATCCCTTGAGAATTGGGCAAATGGGTAATCCTGTTTGATTAAAAATAGCTCTTGTTGACTATCTTTAGTTTTGTAATGAATTTGATGAAAAGTAATTAAAACTAATTTGATATTGCCCAATAGACTAATCTGATATTATGTAATATTATTAATTTAAAAACTAATTTTAAGGGGTGGGGTTGATTCAGCATGTCCATATGAATTAACATACTAAAGCCTGTCGGTCATTAAATGTCAACCAAAAAAAAAATCTGAGAGTATTTTATATGTTTTTTTAAAAAAAATTATAGTAGATAGTGCAGACCCATTCATCTCTTCATTCTCTTGGTAGTAATGAGTAGACAAGCATCCAGTTAAAGATTAATTAATGAGTTCAATGTAGGAAGGCTTGCTGTCTCAGTCGCTCTGATTAGTGATTAAGCAACCCTTTGGGGATTATACAGAAGAACTGCTGGTCAGCTTATAACATAATTATGTCTTTTGATGGCCAGCCTTTTTTTCAAAATTAATTTGGTATAGATTAAGTTGTTAAGACTAATTTGATGATGGGCATTTGACAAGGTCTAACACAACCAGCACAGAAATCTATCAGTGATGTAATATTTATTATAATTGATGCCTAGATCACAGAGGATTGATAAAAATTTTAAGGAATTGAAAAATCCTAGAATCAAGGTTGATGTGATTTTCTTGCACCTAAACTGTTCAAGAAAATTGTATTTTTTGACGGGCGTATCATGCTGTGGCGCGGCACTTTATTTTTATTGTTTCCTAGTCTCGCTACTCTGCAGACTTCTATAAATAGGACATAACTTTGTCAGTGTTCACTGTAATCGTTCAACACCGGAGAAGACGGACGTATGCTATAAAGAACTCGATAGCGAGAATAATAACGCAATACTTTGAGATTTTTGAACTTGCAAAATAATCCTTTCAATATATGATAAATAGAATATTGCGTACTAAAACCCATATTATATCATATGTCACATCAGCCCTCGGGCTGTTATGACATATGATATGGAATTAAGTTTGTAGTAAATTGTAGATGTGAAGATCATGTCATATATAGAGGTTCTAAAACAATTTAGATGCATCAACCTCTGTTGTTGCACCTCCTTTGTCGAGAATAAGCCAATGACATACTGGTGCATTGATAAATGGCTCTTGCGACCATTAAACAGAACAGCAAGTCCAGTATACAAACATATGATATTCTCATTTGCTTCATTATAACATGGTGAAGCACTTTGAATAACACAGGGGCAATTTCCTGAATTTTTCTGCAAGTTTATACCAATATAAAACGTGTTCCTCCTTATCATTTTCTTTGAATTGTGTTTCATTTTTCTAACAAGTGCCTGCTCTTAAGTCGCGAAGTAAGGAGTCAATCCTTATGTCGCGGGTTCGAATCCTTCAGTGGGACGTGGAGACCGGTTCCTCGGATCAGACCGTTTAAATCGAGGTGTCGCAGTAGGTGCTGGCACGAAAATGATCCCTTCTTGCTCAATGGCCCTGAGTGCCGACCATAGGCCAAGGTTTGCAGCTTCCACCGGCAAGTGGTGGCGTCTCCATATGAGTGAAAAATTCTCGAGAAGGAAGTTAAACAATATACGATCAATCTTGCCGTTGACTTCATTTGTCATCTGCAGACAGCCTGCACAAGTGTATCACGAGAGTCAGATTTCACCACGTCCTTTACGAATTATTTATTGTTATTCAGTATTCCCATGCATATCTTCTGATGAATTTCTGCTCCTCCTGCGTATTAGGTAGGTTTACATTATAACAATTAAATGTTTGGTCATGTTACAGTGAATTAGACATTCATCTTTTTTTAAAAGAAAGTTCAAGTCGTTCTTTAAGAGATTTAGAGATTTCAGACAATCTATTTATGTAGGTCTGTTGTAGAAAGCATTTGCGTAAACGGATTGTTCAATCCAAATCATCTATCTGTGATAAGGCTTCTTAGTATGACCGTATCTAGATATCGTCGTCCACCATGTTAGTATTTGTTACTTTATTCAGAGAAAAATCGAGTAGGTTTTTTGTAGCATTACGTGTAAAGTGTTAAAGCTGTGCAGACTTTATATATACATGTAACTTTGAGATGTCAATCTAGTGTTGACATAATTCTGGATTCGTTTTTATCAATAATAAAAGGCACTTAGCATGTTATTGCTTTCTCACATCAGTGTTGCATTTTAGCAAAATATTAAAATCGGTGTAACATGTATTCAAATTGTCAAATTATTCTGTCAAAAGACAACAATCTGTTAGAATAACGTCCATGTTATGGATATCTGCAAAACATAAATTGATTAAATCCTCCGTACGATTTGAATCGGTAATATAAAGTAAAGCGGCAAACCATTTCTGTTGGTCTTCTCCTTCCTAATACACTCCAATATTTCATAGGAAGGATAAAAGAGTTACACAAGGGGAAATAACTCTTGAAAAAATGTTATTCTTTCCCCTCGAAAGACAAACATTTTACAGGGACCTTATTCACAAAGCATCCGTTAGATTACGGGTCCGTTAACTTTACGGAGACTCTGACGATAGTGACCGTAAAACTTTAACGTGGTATTCACAAACGTCTCCGTTAACGTTCACTTTACGGGTGCGGTAATAACGGGTCCGTAAAGACAAATTCTATGTATCTGCAACTCTCATTGGTCGAATAAATCGATTGCTTTGTCACAGTGTTGTTTTTCTAAATACAATCTTAAGATGTATTATTGATGAGAAAAATAAAAAAAAAAAACAAAAGTTATTTGTATATTCATTCCTCCTTTTCTACTATGACGTAAGTTGCCAAGCAACGTGTGTTGACGTCATTTTTTTTTTCCAAATTTGACGTCTTTGGGAATTAGATAGTAGGAAATGGATAAAGAAAGAAAAGAAAACCGAGAGCGAGAGGTCGACGTGCTGTCAAGCAAGGTTAATGAAAAATCGCAGGTGTACTAAAGCAATGTCTTGGGACTAATTAAATACTATACCAAATGAAAGAAATAATACATATTGAAAGCGTTATTAAACTGCTAATAGTCAATCAGAGTAAATCAGCGTAAAAGTTATGGTATGCAGAAGAAAAGATATCATGAATAAAAATTGCTGGCAAAAATATGCGTTTAGTTTTCAGAATGGAAATCCTCATCATAAAAAAGGTTAAATTTAATTTCATTCAATTTCCTGTTGTTTTTTTTATCTTTATCAGTATTGTTGTGTTTTTATGTATTTAAATCTCATGTGCTCGCCTTTTGCTGGATAATGAATTGTTACATGCATTAAAAAATAAAATTTATACATGTACAAACACCTGGACTGTAAGATCTATATGACACTGTAAACAATTTATAAGTATCGTTTGTGCTATTATATAACAAAAGCTGAAAGCGTAAAAGCTAAATGCAAGTGTTTTACATTTTGCGTATTGAAATTTGAAATTAAAACAAATTAACAAACACAAATGTTATAAGATTTTGGGTCATATACTAATGCTACTAATATAAAAAGAGCATTGCAGGTAACCCCCCCCCCCCCCCTCTCAGCCGCTTATCCGAGAATTCAGTGCAGCAGTTATCACACTTAAATAATTTATCCTTATGCTCCTTGTGGACATGTAATGTGCGATGCGATGAAAACATTTAAATTCTGCTTTGCACGCTCTAACATGTCGATCGTAATTGTCTTTGCGACTGAATTCGTCATGTGTTATCTGAAAGTAAACAGTGACGGATCCAGGGACGGCGCACCGGAATAACATTTCTTATATGTAAATCAAAATGTGTCAGCTTCCGAGGGATTCACCCCGAACCCCCATCAGGACCGTGGCCTTAATAGCCCTACCGGGGAGGAGGGGGGAGGGGGCTTCATTACAACCCCCTGCCTTCTCTACCTTTTACTGTACCCTCTTGTTGCGAAATTCCTGGATCCGACACTAATTAATGTATTTCATGTAAGGTCATCTTTAAAATTGTTTGAATGTGCTTTCCCGACCAACTCAATTTCCCTACGTTCCAGATAAAACGAAATATATATATATTTTTTTCTTTATTCCTTTTACTTTTAAAAAAAAATTGAGTCGGGAAAGCACAAGTAAAGATTATTTAAAGGATGATCTGACTAACCAAGAACTTTTAGAGGACCTGTTTTATAAAAAAAAAACAACTTACGACTACGACCAAATTTAATTCTGCTAATAACTTCTCTTCTTGTGCTCGTAGTCATAACTTTTTCTTAAGAAAATACAGGCCTCAGTTTTTTCCTTTGTTTTATACATCCTTAAATTTTCTAGTCCTTTTCATTACAATATCAACATTTTTTTCCAGACCATCCAGGAGGAGGGTATTCACCAGCGCCTGCAGAGACTCGAAGAAAGTCTGGAAGCGCCGAGAAAGGAGGTGGCAGGAAGGAGAATCCTCCGAAAGTTAAATGTTTGTCATTTTTGTGAAAATTAAAATGTTTTAAGTTTCAACCTTTCTTTTTTTTCTTTTCAATTCTGTAAACGGTTGAAACAGACTGTAGCAATTGTACTCAAAATTTACAAAAGAACCACTGACACAATAATACAAAAATTACAAATAATTCAAATATTTATATTTCGTTTATTAAATACATAATTTCAGAAAAAATCAGCATGTTTATGAAAAAAATATCTTTACAAATACAAATCAATATGACAGTCTGATTGGTGGGCGCCTCTGCCTGGTTGAGCGTCTGAGTGGCGCTGGTTGAGGCGCTGGCATGACTAGGGGAGGTGTGTGGGGGGGGGGCTCACACGAGTACTTCACGGCCTCTTCTCTTTACACAAACCGTTAGAATGACCACTAAAAAAAGTGAATCACACTTGAAATCCCGCATGACAACTGCATCGAATTCTGTAAGGGATTGAGATTCGAGGTCCGCCCGTCTCCTCTGGCACCTTCTTTTAACCATACAAACCATCATCCCCATGAATATAAGTATCACTACACCCGTCCCTCCAAGGATAACATATATCCAAGGTGTGACTAATAAACAAAGGATGGCTTTAGAAACAACTTCTATGTAATAGTAATTTAAATAATCCTTTATACTATTTATTCAAATTTATTTATTTTTTAATTCAAAACTTACTGAAGGTAAAAGCTGCCAATTCAACAGTTCTTAGGGAGGTCATTGCTACGTCTTTGGGTTCACTAAAGTCCTGGGCGTTCTGACAAAAAAGAGATAGAAACAAAATTCAATTTTAATTTACTTTTTTTTTAATTTTGTTAAAATAACATCGATTCAATTGAAAAATCTTAACGATATATTTCCCTTTTTCTTTTGGGAATTAAAATTATTGTTTTTGTATGACATAGATAACAAAATTAAATATATCTATATATAAATACCTGACAAGTGCGGGAGCCTATGCGGACCGTCGTCCATGGGTTTGCTGAAATGTTATCGCAACTGGCTTGTTGGTCGTGGATGATCAGCCTGGTCAGTGCCGGATAGTCTTCAATGTGTATCTCTCCTATGACCCTCTCCAGGAAGAGGACGTTGGTAGTTCCCCCTTCAAACTCCCTCCAGTCTCGACACTGCACTACCCCCTCTGTCACCCCGCACCGCGCATCAACTTGTATCACCAGAATAGCAATCAACATGAACATCGTGTCTCTTGAAGTCTTCGAATTTGGAATTAAGATGGCGATTTTTTTCCTTCATCTCTTATATAATAAATAATAACACATTCCAATTAGGGTTGGAATGGCCATTTAAATTACAAAGTCATGATTGTTTTTCTCCCCAAAATAAATTCTAACAGTTTATAAATAAGGGTATAATTGTTTTTAGAATAATAGTGGGGAAAAAATTGGATATAATGTACAAACATAGTTTTTAAAACTAATAAAAGATGTTCAGCATACCTAATTAGTAAAATGGAACTAGTCCTTGACCAGTGGAAGTGTCCATATTGGTAAAGTTGCCCCGAGGTTAAGAAAAATAATTTTGTACAAAGAAAAATGATTAATTAACGATTAATAAATGTCATAAATATTAAAACAATAAATCTTAGTTGTATGTTACTTAAATTATTTGATTCCGTAGAAGTTCAAAGTCAGCTAGTTGAAGAATTCCATTCCTTTGCCCCCTTGAGAAAGTCACCCAGGCGCTTTTGACGTTACTCGAAGACTGTCCCCTCGCGTAGCGGACCAGCTGCACGATGGGGGCATTACGCAATGTGTATATACGTCTGTAGAAGGAATGATTATACACGATTCTTAGTTAGCACAGCCTTGAATCGAGTTTGCTGAACATTACGACTTTATTCTCGTACAAGTATTACGTTTTATTTATTTAAAAAAATAGTAAATCGAGAGATTTTATATAAATTAACACTGATTTTACTGAAGAAAAGTATTCTTAATAGGTTTGTTCCTGAGCTGTTGAGCAATTTAAAACCTACTTAATGTTTAAGTTTTTACTATAAATTTGGTTTCTGTATAATTATGTACAGTGATAATAAATTGATTTTCATTATTATCATGATGAAATTCATTAAAGAAAGAGGTAGAGCCACTTTGGGCCATATTTGGCCCTGAGAATTTCTGAAAAATCAAAACTGATCAGTTTAGGTAGCATACGTAGTATTTATCACTGTTGAGTGTTGGTGACCACGTATCTCTTAATTGTGACGTAATTTTCCATCTAGGTAATGCATTATGACGCCATGAAATGCGTCATTTTCCTAATTTCCTGTAAATTCCTTTCAAAATGACCTAAAGTTGAAGCTTTTTTCAATATTTCATAAAGAGCACAACCTCTGATCCAAAATATATGCCAATACATAATGAAAGCTCTGTTTCTGAAGATCCAAAAACATGTTTTATTTTTTGTATCGTAAGCTGTGCGCATATTTTAATTCTTTGCTGAAGGAAGTGAAATGTTTTCTGCAAAGGATGACTGCACTTAACGGCGGTTTTTGGGTCTTTTTCAATCTCTGTTGTCACATTTATTTTTGTTTTTATTTTTGCCTTAAGTCATTTGTTATAGAGTTTGGTCTATTTCCAAGTGAAAGGTAATGTCATAAACGTTATAGACTGCGTTGCAACAAAATAATTTGTTGTTTTCTTACCCCAACTAACTGCAAATACCGGGAAAATAGACTTATCTGCCCTTGATTGGAAAGATGATTTATAAATATGCATAAGAGGCGGAGCTAATATTGTGAAGAGTGGTCTAAAATTAGAATAGTTACTGTATTTATATTTGGTGCATTTTCTCTCTCTCTCTCTCTCTCTCTCTCTCTCTCTCTCTCTGCATGTTTGTCACTATCAGTTTTTAAGTTTTCAAATAAAGTTTATAACTAGTAACAAATAACATCGACCGGTAGAAGTAGCCATTGATAATCAACAGCAATGGCTGATGTCAACAATTCGCGTGTTCAAATATAAGTGCCGACTAGCTCAGTCGGTAATGCACGGAATCAATAATATTGAGGTCTGGGATCGATACCCGCTAACAACATTAAGACTTGCTTTAGTTTTTCTCTTTTTATAAAAAAAGAAAGAAAAACGTCACAATTATTTAAGTTTTTCTTAATTTCTTCTCCCCATAAATTAGCGTGCTGGGGATGGGTATGATTTCATTTTTTATTTACTGGATCTAACTTTGGATGTTCATGCTAAGCGATGGTTCAAAACATAATAAATAAATTTCTTTTTTCTTGTAGACTACGAACATGTAGAGACACATAATACACTCGAAAATATACAAATATAGTAAAATGAAACGCTTTTGAGATAAATATTAGAAAAATCTTATAGATATCTAAGAGAAAAAAGAATAGCCCGTGGCTCGATGGGAATGGATTGAAACAGATATGGACAATCACTATCGCCCAGCAGAATGCGTGTTTCCTTACTCGTCACGTGATGGAATTTTAGTATTCACAGAGTTACCTGGGTATAGAAATCACGTGGATAATTATAATATTCGACAGGTAACAACGTGGTCAAAATGGCCTGTTTACTATAGAGAAAGTGAACACACGAAGAAACAGTTTTCTCTCTTTTTAACCATGAGCGCATGTTTGTCTATTGATCTCTTTTTAATATGAGGTAATATATATAAATATACAGCTACCTTAAAAAGGAGAACAATAGACAAACATGCGCTGACTATGTATTAAGCCTGTAAAAAGGTGGGCGTACTCATTATCCTACGGAGATTCCAGAATATGCGATGACCCTTCCCCTTAAAAACGACTTCGAACTTCGTTAATACGAACTTTTAATTAACGTAATTACACGAAGTTGCAGTTAAGACACTGGTCAATCCTACCATTAAAAGAAATATGCCCATTTTTAAAATTAAATATGTCGCAATTTCTAAGTTTCCTTAAGTGCAGTCATCCTTTCAAGAACATTGCAATTTTTCAAATCTGTTATCCAATAACTGGATCCTCAAAAAGGAATTTTTATAGGAAATGAGAGCACCATGTGTCTATTTATTTTTGATATATGAAATGGTAAAGAGGGTGATAGTTAATTTATTGATATACATGTAAATACAGGACCATTTTATGCATAACATGGCTCATGCTCTTTTAGTGAGTAGCTATATTTTGAGTTGGGACATTTTAAATTAAGATCATAAGAGGTGTGTGTGTTAGGGGATGGGGTGGTTATCTTTCAGTGAATTTAGCGCTCATAGTACATGTACATGTACCTCTATTTTCCAAACCATCCCTGTCCAGCCCTGCTGCCTCCTCTGCGTTTCTTAAATAAAGAATTGTGTCACATATATATTTTTTTAAATCCTTAGGAATTGAAAGTTAATAGCTTTTAACAACAAGGACTTTAATACACTGAAAATCTCTTTTCGTTCGCAAGAACTTTATTTATGTGATGATCGTGAAAATTTCACTCTGGTGTTTAATAGAATTCTGTAAGATTTTATTTAGAGCAATGACCACAAACCGTGAACATTTTGTCTTTCTAATGAAGAGTCAATGACTATCTCGTGAAAATACTAAGTCGTGAAAATTAAGTGATCTGCAGTAAGATCATTTCACTATAATGTGACAATCATGATTATAGCCACGGCTGACCTGGTACAGTCTAAATCCATTTGGAAATGTCACAGCTGCAAATGGCAACAGATTCTGCACGGTTTACATGAAACGCTACACGGTTTGCACGAAAAGATTCTTACACGCTTTTTGGGGGTAGTGTCACGTCTCAGGGCCTGTATAATAAACGATGCAAAATGTGAGTTTTGGAAAATGCTATTAATCAAGCGTACACAAAACCAACGGACATGTGAAGAGAATTAAAGCAATTTTTAACAACGAAATCAGCATCAGCTTCACCATCATACTGTAGTTTCATCAATTTTCGTGGATTTTATTAAACAGACGTATTTGTAGATACGTAATTTCGTGGACAAAAGCATTGCTTATACAAATTAATGGCATATTTCTTAATTCAATGAACATTTGAATTCGTGGATCTGTTCAACAACAAAATCCACAAAAAAATGGTGCTCAACGAATATTAATGAGACCACAGTACTTACAAATGAATGGAGAATCGATTTCCAATGTAAAAGACATGGTCAATAGTTTAAACGACTTCTTTAGAGGCATTGGAGATAAATTTTCTGCGAAATATGCTAATTCCCCACCGGAAATTGAACAGTTAATGACTAAGGGGTCTTTTTGTATTCCAAACATTTCCATTTGTTTTGTATTTTTAGCAATGTCAAATTCGTAGTTTACAGGAATGGATGCTATTTCTGAAAAAATGTTAAAAATTAGCTCAGATGCTATTGCCGACACTTTAACTTTTACGATGAAAAAGTCCAAGAAATGGCCACGTTCCATCTGAATGTAAAAAAGCTAATTACTCCCCTATTCAAATCTCCTGGAAATGATGAAAGGGAGAGGGGCAACAGTTGTGACAATACCAGCACAGTCGCCTTGATGAAAGAAATGCAGAAGAATATTACATCTCTAACATCGACAGTCTGCGAACTCAAACAAAACAGGGTTAAAAACGAAAGGCTGAGGATGACAAACCATGACCATTAGGTCTAGATCTCAGTGATGTGTCTGAAGACGAAGATGGCGCGAAAAATGATTTAGATGAGTTACTGGAAGAAGTAAATAAAGTTGTAGACAGTGATTGTGACGACATGCTATACGGACTGGTGGATTGTTTCGATGTTGAAGATAAATGTAGTGAGGCGATAAATAAAAAGACTAGCAAAAGGAGCAAATGATAGTCTTCGCTCAATTTTGGACGCAGACAAAATCAAAGGGTTGAGTGAAAAAAACGACTGATCAAAAAAATTTCCCATTTATCGTTACACCAAAATCAAACGTAGAAATCCGGGCGCAGTTAAGCCAGAAAATGTGTATTAAGGACATTCTACTACATAGAACTCAACCCTGCTCGGAAAGGCAATTGTACGAAGAATCTCGCACATTATGCTCAAATGAACATCCAGTGCCGGACAAACTGTTCGGCGACGATCTGGGAGTGAAAGAGAGTAGGAAACAGCGCGGTATTGTCAAGGCAAAAAGAGTCGGAGCTAAGATCTCCGGACACCAAAAGTTTGATAAACGCAGGGCACCTGAGGCATGCGACGATGACGTCAAGCCACG